AAATTAGCTAACGTTTTTTAAGTAAAAAGTATTTTGGCTAAAATTTCTTGTACTGTATGAGTCAAAGTCGTGTTTGTGGAAGATAAAAGACACAATATTGTATAATTCAATGTTTAACAAAATGGTAGAAAAATTAAGAAATTTAAACTCTACTCATTTTGATCGTTTTCGGACCGCATTTACGAAGAAATAAAAACTGTAACAGCATGCTGGTATTTCCCCTTTAAGTTAGGAAGAAACTTATATTTCGGCTTCTTTTAGAACTCGGATTAAAAATTTTATAACGCCAAAATCCTCTCTAAGTATGATTTCAACCTACGGGGATATGGATACGGTTTGTTTTATAGGGACCAAGTCAGTCTTGTGTCGTGTGGTTCGGGGGAGAGCTGTAGTGACACCTATATACACACAGTTTTAGGTGGTGGCACTCAGATCATTTTCAACAGAATCTTTGTATGACATCTGTCATATAACCGTCATTGATATTGTTTTTATTAAGGTGAGCGTTTCATAGACTTTTATGAGTTTGAGGTAATTACTTTAGGAATCCATATGTTTGCATTCGAAAATCTGCTGAGCAACTATATATGAAACAATATTAGGCCATCAGAATGAGATTTCTTGGTACATTTTTTTGCGATTTTACATAAATAAATAATTTGAACTGGCGGCAATTTCTTGGGTTCCTAAACTAACTAACTAAATAACTAAGTAACTTCTGCTATCTTCTCGCTTTCGCTTTTAAGCTTAAACTGCGAATTGTGGTTATAAAAGAACATGCATTATCGCTGATTGGAATCGTTATACTACTTGCCACTTGGTAACATATTTTATTTTATACTTTGCCCACCGCATGCACACGGCGACATGGCCACCGCAATAACCTTCTTCCTTTGCTGCTTGGGCGAATCAAAAATTTTCAAAAAGAAGGTCTTTTTCAATAAAAAAAAATCCATGCTTATAGGCATATATTACCAAGCGTTCTTCAAGTTTCTGACTGCTGCTCATCTAATAGCCATTTACCTACATACCTACATTTGTTCTAAACATACATTAACCTTACGTAAAATATGTGGGTAACTAATAAATATTCTGCCCTCCTCTCCTAACCTCAATATCTGAAATATCTTAATGTCTCGCCACACCCGGTCGTATCCGTAATTTATTGCCAGCGCGTATACCTAATGTACGCCTAATTAAATTATTTATTGGGTCATTAGTGGCGGCGTACATTACTTATTTTAAAATTCGTGGCTCACGCAGATTGTATAAATATTTGCTATGGAAAAAATAGGTTAAGTGATTCTAAATAACTTTGTGATTTCATGCAAACTGCCACATAACATAGCAAGACCGCCTTTACGGACCTTAACCGCCCAATTCCTTTACCAAAGAGCTACACGAAACGACCGGTCATGAATTACAAGACTGGCATGTAACATGTGGCGCTAACTCATTACCATTTTTCACATTTTTTCGTAGTAAAGGTAATAAATTTGTAAGCCAGCAAATTACCATTAACAAACCAATAAAGCAAAGGATGGTAGCAAAATTAATAAAGAAAATTATTCATTAAGCGGTTGAGTGTAAAGGGAAAATTATAAAAAGCAGCTGCTGCTTCGAAAAATAAAGCAAATAGTAGATATTTATTTAAAGTTACAAGAAGCAAAAAAAAAAACGAAAACTGCAACTGTACAATTAGTGTGTATCTCACATTTGATGTTATAAAAAGCTATAAACGGGCATTGATAGTTTTTTTCTCTACCAAGTAGATACTCCAATCGTATTCTCTTAATGTGTGTCCTTTTTTACCACGCTCTCTGCAGCTGTAATTAAACTTTGGCTACGCAGCCACTCAACTCCGCTTTGAACAATGAAAGCCAATTTGTAGCTCAAACAATTCCATTGCACATTTCAGCTACTTTGCGCTGTTAACAGGTGTTTTTGTATCTGGTTAGTTGAGCAGCATTTACATTTAAGTTCGAATTTTTTACTGTCCATAGCAAGCTAGAAAGTTGTTACTTCAACTGGAAATAGCGCAAATGTTGCATGCCACCCGCATCCGCTGCAACTTGCAAAAAAAAATAAAATAAAATGCGATAGATGTGACAACTACTTTTGTGTCTATTTTATTTTATGCTGCTACTAACAACTTTGTCGTTGTGATAAAATTGCTGACATAAATGCTGTGTTAAATGATCGTTAAATGTGTGTATTTTCGCTTTTTTACTGGTCACTTACTTACTTTACGGGCAATGAAGTTTTCAAGTTTCTGCGCTTAATTTGTAAAGTATTTAGTGAGATTTCACTGATTTGCATAAGGTTTTTTACACTGGACGCATACGCAGCAGATTGAAAGTGTGTTTGAACAAGATTGAAAAATATTTTAAAATATAAAAATTTTAAAATATTAAAAATATTAAAAATTGCTCAATGGTAATCCCAAGCAGGGAAAAATTCATGGAAGGCTTTTGCAACTCCACTTGGTAAAAGTGGCCTGTTTCCACTTGAAAGCTATTGAAAAATTCAGGTGCTATGCCCTTGAAATTGAAAGGTGGATACAAACAACGGCATGTCTGATCGTTAAGCAAAATTTTCGAGTGTCGGTCCAAAAAATAACTCGAACCTTTTTTTTCTAAGAAGGCATTTCGTCATCATTCTGCAAACACGAGCATGTGCTGGAAGTGAGAGAAGGAGAGAAAAAGTATGTGTGTGTAGGTATTTCGGCTTTTGAATAACAGATGGCGCAATATTTATAAAAGTTAAAGGTGAAGGGTGATATGTAGATGAAGAACGTGATAAACATAACAGTAAAAACGAAGATAAACATAAAGAAAAATATGAGGATGAGGATACCGATAAAAGTAAAAATGAAGATAGAGAAAGAAAAATTAAACTAAAGGTAATTATAGAGAAAAGGATATAGACATGGACTCAATATGGGGATTATTTCGGGATTTTAGAGATTTTCGGAATTCTCAGGTCTTGTCGATATAATAATCGATACTTTATCGGTTTTGTTATCGATATTTTTTATCGATTTTATTATCGAAACTTTTTTCGATATTGTTATTGATTTTGCTATCGATATTTTCGGAACTTATCGATATAATAAAGATATTTTTTATCGATTTCGTTATGGATATTTCAATCGATTTTGTTATCGATATTTTTATCGGTTTTGTTATCGATATTTTTATTTGTAATCGATATGTTTACCGGTTTTGTTATCGATATTTTTATCGATTTTGGTATCGACTTCATTATCAATTTTTCTTTCGATATTATTATCGATTTTGTTATCAATGTTGTTTTCGATTCTTTATCGATTTTGCTATCAATATTTTTATCGTTTTTCTTATCGATATTTTTTCCTTAGTGTGTGCTTTCGTTTTTGACTTGGATGAGCTCTTAATCGTACCACGTATTCTACGTTTAAATTTAGCGGCTGTGTCTCCGATACAACCTGCATACCAAGACTGTTCCATTTTATAAAATTTTAAAATCGGGTTTACACGTAGAAAATGCTACATTTTCTTAAAAGTTAATGAATATTAAACAAACAAAACGAAAATTTTACATACTGAGGATCAGAAGGGTCTGCAATTGTAATAATTGGAATGTATCCAGTCGGCTGATTTAATCAAAATTTAGCATAGGTTCAGAGAAATAATTCGTATACTGAAATTGACAAAAAAAGGAATATAGAGAACTAATTGAATTGAGATGACCGTGTGAGTAAAAGCAACAAAAGATCAGCACAATTCGAGGTCGATCGGTATAACATATTAGGGTACCATCGGAAAATTTCATAGCATTACGTCAAACTATATTGCACATGGGCGAGGCTGCGGGCAAAACTGGTTGTAAGAGTTGAGTTGGCAAATTCTCAAAGTAAATTTTTTAGGTTTTTTTTATTTTCATCGTGCAACATGTTTAATTTTACGGCACCGATTAATTTACTATTTACAATAAAAGCTGGTCAATTTTATTACAATTAGCTTTGTGAAAAAAAAAATTTTATTTAGTCACTATGTGTTCATCTTATTTATCATCATCTTTCATTCTAAGCATTTTTAAACCCCAGTGCAGATATCTTATTTTCCATTTTTTTTTTATTGAGTAACTACATATTTACATTTTTCAAGTATGATCTGAATTTATTTTCCATTTAAAAACATAACTTTCTCCAATGATAAAGAAACTAATATAATTAAAGACTGTACGCCATAGTTTTTTATTAAAAGTAAACATCATGAATAAAAGTAAAAAATTTATATCAAACACAGTTTATAAAATACTAACAAAAACATTTATATATATATGTATGTATACAATCACATTTGAAAAAACTAACTAACTTTCCACAACATCTATTTCACTAAAAAAAAAATACCAAGCTTTTTCCCTCTTGCAACATGTGTGTGTACTATCCACTATCGCTACTACTATTACTCCATTATACTACTGCTATTTTACTACTATGTATTTAGTATTGTTGCTACTCCTTTTGCTAACTATATTCACTCCACTCTCCTCACTCACCACCAAGCGCTCAAAACATTTTCGCAAGCCACAGGCCACCACAGGTGGGCCAATCGGCTGCCATGCCGTCCACATCGTCGATCACAATAAGGCATGCGAATTTAGCGCGGAAATGCGTTGATTGCTTGGGCCCAGCAAAGAATAATCAAACTGCAACTTTTCTCGATGTGCTCTAATGACACACTCTTCTCTTTCATATGTAAAATGTTTTTGAAAATTTACGTAATTTCTTAAATGAAGTACACCACACTAACAATAAAAATTTAAAAATTGTGTAAAAAAAATAGATTAATTAAATGAATGAAAGTAGATTTTTCTTATAAAAAAACACAGTCAAAACAACTATTTTTACAACAACTCAAAACTAAACGAATTTTTGTCTGTATGTATTGTAGTCTATCCTACAATAACACGCTTATTTATTGCTGTTTCCATTACTCAATTTCTTCTTACAGAACTGAAAAATCAAATAGAAACGCAAGTAAATGAGCTAAAAACTCAAATAGAGGGAAAATGTGTCATGCAGTGATATGTCATCATATGATTATGAAAACAATATTATACCTACATATATAAACAACAAATAACACAAATAAATGAAGTAATACACGCAAAAAGCATATAACAAAGAAAGGAAAGAAACAAAAACCTATATATGTATAATAGAAAGTCAATACTCAATGAATATATAGAAGTAAAAGCAACAAAACAATACTTACTTATATACTCAAATCAACAACTGCTGGGGAAGACAGGAGAATGAAAAACAGAAAAACAGAAAAACAGAAACAAACATGAAGAGACCCCGAAGACATACAACCAAAATGCTGATACCAAAATGAAGTTATATATTAGCGTATAAATATACACATACATACATATAACATAGATCAAATGAAGAAATGAAAAAATTCCATACTTATATACAACCAGCAAAACGAGACAAGGAGGCGAAGTATATATACGAAGTAATTGAAATTAAAACAAAATATATATTATAAATTAATTAAAAAGTCATTAAATAAATTTGAGCATTATAAAATTATTATTTCAATAAACAAAAATATATATACAAAAATATAATAATAAAAAAGTAAACAATTCCAAATAATACAAATAATATAGCAGCTTACAACAAAAACAAATAGAAACCAATAAATAAAAAGGAAAACAAGCCGACGTATCAGAAGAATGTATGTATATACCTGCATATAAACAACAAAATTAAAAGCAAACGTAACACATAAATGAGCTAACAGAAAAAATTAAGTAAGTAAACACTTACACGAACAACAAATAAAAAACAAATATTCAGCAAAACTACAAATAACAGACAAGCAACAAAAAGATCCAAACAGCTACAAACATAAGCAAGGCTATTCCGCAAGATTTACGCCAAAAAAATTAAAAAATTGCTAGAACTAACTTAACTGAAAATATATAAACATAAAGAAGAAAAAACACAAAAATAGCAAACCCTCAACAATAGACAGACGCCATGCTCATTATTTATTGCAAACTGCGTTGCAAAAGCTGGTAAAAAGCTTTCAACAGCAACAACAACAACACATTCAACGAATGCGATTTTCCAAGCCACGCATGCGCGTAGCAGTGCACTCACACAACAAAGAAGAAAGACAGTGAGAAAGTCGTGCAACTGTAAGCACTCTCCTAACATAGGTACGTTCGCACTGCCTAGAAATAACAGTAAATACACAGGCAAATGAGCTCTATGCATGAGAGCGACGCGCGCAACAAGGAGCACACGCTCTTGAGTAAATCACATGAAACGCAAGTAACGCGTCTAGATCAGCGATGGGCAGAGAGAGCTTTTACTCTGCACGCGACTATACAAAATGCATAGAAAGCTTAAAAGAACTTTGCCCGCGGGCAAGGCGGTGCCCATCACCGTTCTAGATACATACAGAACAACAACACATACCCTAAACTAAATACTTGTGCTTTGAGCACTGTGACACAAGAATGTTAGAGAGTAAAGAACATTAACAACAGAACATATAAATAAAAAAAATTGCGTAAAAGTTAGAAAGGAACGAACCAAAGTAGATAAATAATAAGAAAATGAGAAACAGAGAAAAAGAATGCACGAGAGAGACAGAAAAAGAGAAAGAAACCTAAAACGAAAATGCCTTCAAAATTAAAGTAAAAATTAAAAAAAAAAATATATATATATATAAAGAAGATATTATTATTTAATATTATGAGTACGCGAATTTTGGCATACATAACAACAACAACAAAAAATATATAAGTTAGAACCAAAACAAAAAAACGACCTAAAACCACAACAACAACAAATTAATTGCAAATTAGAAAGTTGTATAAGACAAAAAGTAAAACAATTAAGCAAACAAAAAAAAAACATTTAAGTATTAACAACTTAACAACCATTTTTCAAAACGAACTCTACTCAATTTCATTCTGCGCTAATTGATACTCAAGTTTACTTGAAATTTTTGAAAGAAAAAAACACAAACTGTTATAGACTCAATACTCTTGACGAAGTTTACAAATATACTCTTTAACATAGACCGTATGATGCAAATTAAAAACTAACCTTACATAAATTTCACAAACCAAAAGAATTAGTTCGTTCTCCTAATTCAAGTAATTAATAAAACCTTTATGTATGTACTCGTAAATGCAACCTCAACCACAGCATTGCTGCACTAATTGCAAAACCATACTTAAAAAATCATACCAAAAAAAAGCAGGAAATTGCATTTCGAATTGAACAAATCAGGCAAACTACAGCAAATCGAATCCTGTTTACTGTTAATTGGAATTTGTTATTGATATTGGCAAATTGATATTTACATAAAAGCAAGCTATGAGACACATTTTTCAAGAAACAGCGGCTAATCTGTACAATTTCTTTCTTTTACTCAACTCCCTCCCAAAAAAAAAAATAAAAATAAAATAAAACTTCCAAAACACACAATGAGCCCTATCCTCTGAGATAACACAGAAACGAAGAAACTGCAAATGTAAGTAAAACTCAAATTTTTTCCATATACATTTTTACTCATTTTAAGCAAGTTACATACTTACGTAATAGATAATAGTTTTGTTTTTATGATTTAGTAAATTATTTATTTTGCTTATTTTCAAAACTGAAACCATTTCACATGTATGTAGATATGTATATAATTAAGTAATATATATATATATATATACATATATATCAATTATTCAATGTTTCATATTAAGTATAATCATACAGCCAATATATTTAAGATTTAGAATAATATGTAAATATGGTATCTCGCAGATCATGAAATACCAAGCCATATTCATTTAAAAATATTAATAAAACTCAATTTCAAGAAAAAAATCTTAATACAACACAGTAGAAGACTGCATGTATTCATTCAAAATGGCTTATGAATTCTTCATATACAAAACGAATTAATGATTTTGGCTTCACATTTTTTGGAATTTGAGTGAGTACCTGTTCTGATAGACATATGTGTTGGGATTACTATATTCAAACAAAGTGAAAATAAATTCAATTGAAGTAAATGATAATTTTTTGTATGAATATCCAAAAATATTTTTTCTATGCACATATGTTCAAACATTGCTGCATTTTCTATTACAATACGAACAAAGTTGTTTGTAGAAAAAACTTTTACCGGAATTAATTTGAATGATTTGAATGTTTTCAATTCATTCATTCACATTCTTATATTCATAACTTATGAAATTTCAAACGCTGAGTGTTTTGTATGTGAAGTAAAATATTCAAGACTACTGTACTCTGTTTGGCTAGAAGTTTGAAAGAGTTCATGCAGCTCTCTAATACATAGTAAAGGCTAGGTGCTCGTAGACTTGCAAAAATGAGTATAGATCATAAGCCGACACTTTTGAGAAGCCATTTCATTTAACCTAGACTTTTTCACACCGTTTCTCTCTTCCGTCGTTGGAAATGACTTCCTGGAGGAGTTTATGCTCAGCTCACCTCGAAGGATGGCGTTACACTTCAGATCCCTGACACTGTTAAATATTTTTGCACAGGAAGCTATCGTGGAGGACAAATATTTAACAGCGAGTAGAACGGGCGTAATCAAGCCAATTGTTTTAGGTTCTATGAAGCTGCAGAAGTCCGATATTTTCAATTCCGTTATCTCCACCAAGCTAGTGGAAAAACTTATTCTCAAGTATTTAAGTGAACTTGATGTTTACTGTTCATAATTCACTGCTACATCTATTTTTCAACGCATTTGATAACTTTTTTAATGAAAGCTCACAAAAATAGCAAGAAACCAGTTAAACTCGAATTTTGATTTTTTTTATTTGTTTATAATAATTTTTTTGTAGTACAAAGGGAAGCAAAGGTATTTTTTGAAGAAAATCGATTCTCCTGTTCCAGTTAAAAATAGTACGCAATAAAAACTAGTTGAAAACAATTTTACGGTAACCCCAAAATGAAAAAGATGTCGCAAAATTAATTAGAAATTTTACAAAAAAAATTTCACCAAAATAAAAATGAGTTTTTAGAAAAATTTTGGATAGGTAATTTTATAGATCATTAAAGTGAAGCTAACAATGGCTAAAAGTTTGCGTTGATGTTTAATAATTTTTTCCACTAACATTTCGAGCACATCTGCTTGCTAAATAGGAAATAAAAGAGCCGCTCTTTTTTCGGTCGGACGGACTTCGTAAAAAAAATTATGTCATGCCTCCGAGGATTTTTTTTTTCTTTTTTTTCTTTGGAGATATACTATCTGTCAAAGTTTGCATTTTTTCGTCTTTCTGACTAATCATGTACTTCTTCAAATCGTTATATTTCGGGTTCTGGTCATCGTAGAGACTTTATCTTAACGTCCTTTTAAAGCTAACATATCTACATCAAGCAAAGAGTATTCCAGAAATGGGCGTGGCTATATTAAAACCAAAGTTCTAAAACTTATTGTGGATTTCGCCACAATATCTATTTGGATTGAAAAATTTTGTGGAACAAATATTGTTAACTAAGCGATATTCTGCCGAAATCCGCAATAAAATCTGCGTTTTTCTAACTCGAGGTCGCCCCTCGTCAGGTAATGGTAAACCTCCGAGTGTATTTCTTCCATGAAAAACAGCTTCTCGTAAAAATACACTCGCCGTTCGTGGTCGGCGTAAAACTGTAGATCCCTTCCCTTTGTGGGTAGGACCACATCAAGGCGCATGCCACAAATCGGAAGAGAAGCTCGGCCAAACACTAACATATGTGTAAGTGCCATTCTATTATAATGTTATTCGGGTTACATCTTTTTTTTGTTAAAGGAGTTTGGGCTATAAATCTGCATACCCAAAAATGTTCTAAAGATTCAAATTAAAACGTTGAAGTTTTGATGAAAATTTCTTGAGTTTTCCTAAATTTTGTATAAAGCTTGAAACTGTGATTTATATGGTTTCAATTAAAGTTAGGACGAAATTTTTATAGAGAAAACATAACATTACATTGATTTAAAAATTAAGACTCCGTTGAATTATGAACTGTTAGTGGTAGTTTTGAACCACTGTACGACGACCAATAGTGTTCTTACTACAGATCTGTTGAAGTGCAATTGCTCCTCCTTTCGCTTCATACTAAGCCTCGACCATAGTGGTCTGGAGATTTAACAGTCGTCTCAATTTCACCATAGGTGATTTGTTATGGCTATGTATTCATATGTTCGTTAATTTTTCTCTGGCGCTATTCCTCCCTGGCTGGGTTTCGTAAAAGATGTGATCAGTTCCGACATATAAGTCAGCTCTGATTCCGTTGAACCATCTTTTTTCAAGCTCATTTAAGTTCGCTGCGTGCCCGTACTGGGCGTGCTTGCACATTTTGAAACCACTTTTGCAGCTACAACAGGAATTCATGGACCTTTATTTTTCTTGAAAACCTGACTACTTCACTGCTAGAAGGATTAACTGCTAGCCAACCATCTCTTCAGACTGAAAGTGCAAAAGAGTACCTGTGATAACTTACGCACTAAATGCATACTACTACACTGATCTGCTTTAAGTCGACTTAGTAGGCGCTGAGTGAAAACATCCGACATAGAATATTTCAAGTTCCATCCGGCCGTTGGTCAACCGTCCTTACAGTCCTTACAGGTTAGTAATTCGGTATTACTTGAATGGTCTCTGTCTGCTGTGCCGTGGTTATTCGGTGACGATGGGAATCATCCCAATACTTAGTTCTCAGTTTTCCTGTTTTGAACTAATTTTATATTTGTCCAACTACGAAAATTAAATTTAACTCAACCCAATTTTTAGGATCTCAGACGATCTTAGTATATTTCTTTATTAACCTTTGAAAGTTCCAGCCAAAAACTTTTATTGCCAGGAAGCTTTTCACAAAGAGTGTCGTTTATCCGGGCCAAACTTCCGTGTCCTTAGTGTAATCTGAACACTAAACGCGAGCTTTTAAAACTAATATCCCTTCTGATAGCGTAACTGTTGCTAGGAAACCTGTGGTTGCAAACGTTTATGCAGCACCATAATACTTTCAATTATAGTCAGCTAATAAATAGTATCCTTTTTTTAAATACCCGTATTACTTATCCGGCTAGTACTAGCCTATAAAACTCATTTAGAAAATCCTATACTTCATATAACCATATCAAGAAAAAATTTCCAACAGACTAGTATTATTCACTTGATACAGATTATAAATATATTATAATAGATATTTAGTGCATAAACAGATAGTTTTACGAACTACTAACCTATCGATCGTCGCATGCAACGATTGATAGAAAAAAAATTACCACGCATATATAAAAAGAGACAGTTTAAGCAAACACACCATTTTAGATTATGATTCTGTTACTGCCAACATTTGAGGCTCTCTCCGCCCAGAGAATGGGTGGAAGAGCGCAAATGTTTCTAGCAGCAAAACAGATTTAAGCATATTTGTGATAGCTAATAGAAAACACACATCCAAACAAACCAAAAAATTGCACCACTGAAAATCCCACCCAATACTAACCGAGATTTGGAAATAATTTCTCCCATCCAATAGCCACAAAGGCTAAGAATCACAAAATAGAAAGAGTTCACTTGTAAAATAAAAAATTAAAAAAAAATTAGGACTTCTGTAACATGTTCTTCATATTTGGTAATACATATATTAACGCATGTAGTTGTAGGCATAATTAATATATGTATGTATGTAAAACTCAATAAAACAGAATACTATAATAATAATGTTAAAATCATACACACATATCGCACGTTTAATAATACACAGAATTATTTTGAAATTTCAATTTTGTGGTATGTATACTAAAAGATAGATGGAAAGACACATATCTTCGTCATATTTGGGAAGTTTCGTCATCTGTTAGGCTGCGCATATTCAGCTTATTAATTGTATGATGAAATCTCCAAATACGTAAATTTTGAATTACATATCTATAGTATTAAACGTGCAATATGTAAGTATGTATTTTATTTAGTAGATAGCAAGTAAAATGCGCAAAAGCTAAGCAAGTGCAGCTGTGATAGGTTTAAGTCAACTTCTATCCTATTATAAATCGAATTAAAATATTAGACAGCATCTCACCCGCATCAAAAATTCAGCGTCGTTCGAGTACTGAGTTAAAAAAGTTTATTAAAAACTTTATGCAATTAACTCAAAACTTACTTGGTGTAAGCCTCGCTCTTATGTGCTAAAACAAAAAGGGAATGTTGGATTCCTCCGTATGTGTAGTACACTTCTATTCGATGAAGTTATGTTGAAAATTAAAAAAACAAAGCTCGTTCACTTTACTCAGCTGCAGTAATTTTTTTAGCGAGGCTTCTTTGACAATGAAGAAGTCAACGTCAACAAACACATTTAATAAGTATACATGAATAAGTGGAAACATTTTTCATCATCGTACATCTCTTCAATGATGTTATGATGTGCTTAAAAAATTTCACCATATGTATGTACATCTCACCTTCAAAGTAAGACCTCTATTGGGGTACTGTGTGGCGCCGAATGAGCTATATGGTTTGAATTCTTTTTAACAGTTTTCTTTGGGGATATTTGAAAGGAAAGAGTGTAGGTTAACAAACCAAGAACCATTCTCCAACTCGAAACCAACATTCGAAATGAAATCATGGCCATTACACCCGAAATTCTGCGAGAAGTTATGGAAAATATGCTAAAAAGAGCACGTACATATGTGCGAAGCAGAAAATGGACATCACTTAGAGGATATCATTTTTCTCCAATAATATACTGTATTAAAAAAAATATAAAATTATAATAATCGCATAAATAAAAAAGTTATAAACCATACAGCTCATTCGGCGCCACCCTGTATATACTCTACAGTTGAAAACCGATGAAATTGCTTATTTGGCAAGTAATTATTTATGTGAAAAA